AAGCAACAGTTGTGAGATGGTATAGGACCCGACAGTGTTGTATGAGAGGGAACAGATTTGTGGGTACCTAACAACAACTTTCTGTCCTCCCTCAAGAGAGGGTTTGGAGTTAGGAGGGCTTCCCAGGTGGCTGACTCCTGCTCCTGAGCACCTCTCATCTTCTCCAACATTCTTCTTCTTCATCATCTCCTCTTCACTCTAGAATCTTGTGCAAGATGGCCCCAGGTGCTCCAGTTGCCCAATAGACCACTTAATCCCTTAATGGCCCTTGGAGTCTGAGAGAGAAACTGTACATGTTTCCAGGTTCCATGTTAGTGACTTCACCAGTTATTGCTTCCAACCACCTGAAGGGATTTACCTGACATTCATTCATTCATTCAGTTGGTGATTATGGAGTGTTTAGGCTCTTAATCCTTATGATCTACTATTATATTACCACTGTACTGTTTTCATTATATCCTACATACAGTAGACCTGCTGCAAACATGGATTCAATGGTGAGAAGCAAAAAATAAAAAAACAAAACTGTCCTGCCTCAAAAGACTGGGATAAACATCAAATTAATACCCACCAGGAATCTTGGTGTGGCACAGTGAGTTAATGCGCTGGACTGCAAGGGAGGTTTCAATCCCAAGGTTGGCGCTTCAAGCTCACCAGCTGCTCCTTAGAAATCCTATACAGGGTCGTTATGAGTCAGAAATGACTTGATGGCACTCAACAACAACAACAACAACAACCATAATACCTATTAACATCAAAGTCCTGATGTGGGCTATAGAATAAACACTGGACTGATAACTGCAAGGCAAGTGGTTCAAATCCACCTGCTGTTCCTTGGAAACCCTATAAAGGGTTATTATGAGTCGGAACCGACTCAACAGCACCAAACAACAATAACCTAAAAGTCCACTGCCCTTGCTGTCACCATTGGGTGTACCAAGAACTGGTTGATTGATATGTTAGGGAAGGAACTTCTGAGCTGAGAGCTGGTGAATGAGTAGGAATTAATAAGTAGAACATTCCAGAAAAAGGGACTCTGCATCTAAAGGCCCTAGGAAGGCAGGGACTAAAAGAGACCAGCATGGCGGGGAGAGCATAGGGGAACAAGGTGTCAGATGAAATTGGAAGGCATGCTTTGTCAAGGACTTTCTGTTTTATCCCACAGGATGGAGAGGTCTGGTAAAAGGGGAGCTGGAAGGGAGGGCAATTGTGCGGCTCCATCAGGTTTTGCATTCTGACTGATTGGCTGCCACTGAAGATCAGATCAGCACAGACTGGAGGACTAGGCATGTGGGGCAGGTTTGATGGGCTCTGCTGTGCTGAAGGAAATGGAGCAAGTGTCGAATCTGAGAAATACGATTTTGGGTGAGAAATACGTATTTGAGTCGTTTAAAAAAAGAAAGTATTGAGAGCAAGTAATAACAACAGGAAAAATCTAATAGGCCTTGGGGAGAGGATGCAGGATCGGGAGAGCCTGGGTCCAGGGAGACCCTAGATTTCTGCTTTGTACACTTAGCTGGTCCCTTTCTGAGGTGGGGCACCGCCAAGAAAGAGGTGGTTGTTGTTGTTAGGTGCCAGTGAGTCGGTACCAACTCATAGTGACCTTATGCACAGCAAAATGAAACACTGCCTGATCCTGGGCCAGCCTCACTACTGTTGCCACGCTTGAGTCCATTGATGCTTCCACTTGGTCAATCCATCTCGTTGGGGGTCTTCCTCTTTTTCTCTGACCCTCCACCTTACCAAACATGGTATCCTTCTCCAGTGAGTAGTCCCTCCTGACAATATGTCCAAAGTATGAGAGACGAAGTTTGACCATCCTGTCCTCCAAGGATCATTCTGGCTGCACTTCTTCCAACACAGATCTGTTTGTTGTTTTGGCAGCCCATGGCACTTTCAATACTCTCCCCCAACACCATAACTCAAAGGCATCAATTCTTCATAATCTTCCTTATTCACTGTCCAGCTTTCACATGCATATGAGACTATTGAAAATACCATGGCTTGGGTTAGGCACACCCTAGTCTTCAAGCTGACATCTTTGCTCTTCAACACTTTAAAAAGGTCTTGTGCAGCAGATTTGCCTAATGCAATACGACGTTTGATTTCTTGACTGCTGCTTCCATGAGTGTTGATAGTTGATACAAGAAGAATGAAGTCCTTGACAACTTCAATCTTTGATTAGAATGTTTTTTTATTGGTCCAGTGGTGAGGATTTTTGTTTTCTTTACATTGAGATGTAATTCATACCGAAGGCTGTGCTCTTTGATCTTTATCAGTAAATGTTTTAAGTCTTCTTCACTTTCAGCAAGCAAGGCTGTATCATCTGCATATCACAGGTTGTTAATGAGTCTTCCTCCAATCTTGATGAAAGAGGTTGTTGTTGTTATTGTTGTTATGTGCTGTACGACCCATAGCGACCCTGTACAGGGTTTCCGAGGGTGTAAATCCTTACGGGAATAGAAAGTCTCATCTTTCTCCTGCGGAGCGGCTGGTAGTTTCGAACCGCTGACCTTAAGGTTCGCAGCCCGATTTGTAACCACTGTGCTACCAGAGCTTCTTGATGAAAGAGGTTAGGGTTGTGGAAAATTCTACGTTTCAGTGTGAGGTCTTGGTTGGTTAGGGTCTGGTTTCCAGCACTGAGAATTGGGTTGGAGATTGTGGCAGATGCTGAATTGGTCTGCCCAGACCCCCTTTGATTCATTTCCCCACTGGCTGCCATGACATAAACACACACACACTCCCCAAACCCCAATTCACTGGTCTGGCTGCCTACCTCATCTCCCCCATGCCCATCTTGCCATATTCGTCTTGCTTTGTCTTTTCATTTTGCACCTGCATGTCCCTTGGCCTGGAAAGTGTCTCCACCCTTTCTGAAATTAAACTACTCATCCTTCAAGAGTTCCTTCTAATTTCCCTGGTAATCCCTGGAAGGGGAATAGATTACGCTTCCATTTCTTTTACTGCTTTTATCATACCCGTCTAGTTAATGGCTGCAGCTGTTTTCCTGGGACCTCTGATGTTCTCATCTCTGGACCCCAATGCATAGCAGTGAGGTACTAGACTCCAAGGAAGAAGCTCCATGAAGCTCCTAGGACAGACTGCCCAGCCTCAAAGACTCTCTCTGTTGCTGGGAACAGAACATTTATAGCTGGTGCTTGTGTGTGGGTTTTCTGCTGTGCACTTCAATAGTACAGATAGTGTACTGTTGCCCCTTCTTTTCACTAATTTTCCCGCCTTCCTCTGCCCCCAGCCCCCAGCCTGCCTTTTTGCATTCCCTGCCCCTCAGCCCTAGGGAAATCCCTACTTTAATCCCTCTTCTGCAACTTCCCCTTCAGGTCTCCAGAAGCCATCTCTTCTAAAGCAGAGCTGACCCTTGGCCCTGTCACACCCTTCCTCAAGCACCCCGAAGGGCTGCCTGGAGCCTAGAAAACTCCCCACCCTTGAGCAAGGCATGCAAAGTGCTTTCCTGGCTAGCCTCCCGCCCAGCCCAAGGTCTCTCCACCCTACATGGTCCTAACAATTCGGTTCTTTCTTGTCTCCATGTATCAATTCTGGCTATATCCGGCCTCTCAGATCCTTCTCTTATTATGCAAGGCCAGTTTAAATGTCTCCTCTAAACTTCCCAGGAGCCCGCCACCGAAATCTCCTGCCTGGGCCTGGAAACAACAAACTCCTGATAGCCCACTCATGGTGACTGCTCGTGTTATACACAACTACTGTTTAGGGTTTTCTTGATTGTCCTCTTTACCGGAGATTGCCAGGTCTTTCTTCTGTGGAAACCAACATGGGTTCCAATCTCCCAGCTGATGGCAAACGACTTGGATTACCCAGGGACCTATGGCCTGGGGCAGAATTGCAAGAAGTAAAGGGTCGCCTATGATTGATCCACCCTCATTCCAGAAGCTTCTAGTCTCTGCCCTTTTTTCCTCGGTTGAAAGGGACCAGGTCCCATTGGCGGGGACCCCAATTCTGGGCCTGGGTTTGTCTCCTCCAGGGAATGGAGGTGATGTAACTGAATGACTCCATCCCCTCCCCACTTCCCCGAGCCCCCCCCCACAGTTTCAATGATTACCTGGGGTGGGGGTGGGGGGACGGGGGAAGGGGTGAGCAGGATCGAGGATACCTCTGCTGGTAGAGACTTATGGCTAATGAGCAAGAAAACCCAGTGGTTCACCCCCGAAAGGACAGGCAGAAAATGCCCACATGACTTCTTTCGCCTCTTTTAAAAGTAAAGCCACTTGGCAAGGGCGACCCTCCAGCCCTAAGCTCAACCGTGTGGGTGCCGGACACACACGAGCCCCAGATAACTAACTACGTGGTGGGTGGGGGAGAGGCGCGGCGCCTTTAAGGGGCGGCGGGCGGTCGGCCTCCTGGAGGCCGGCGCCGCGCTCCTTCCGCCGGCCCGCGGTCTTCTGGCCATCGGCGGGGGTCAGCGCAGCGGGAGCACGGGCTGCGACACTACCGGGATGGCCACGAGGAGGAGGAAGTGGAGGCAGCGGGTGAGGCTCGCGGAGCTCGGAATTGCCGAGCGCGCCGCCTGGGGCAATATGGGTGGGGA